CGAATCTCTTTCTAAGGCTTAATTATGATACCAAAGAAAGTACACACATAAACGGAAAGAATGCCAACCTGGAAAAATATGCCTTCACGATCACAGTAATCCTTCAGCTTCGCACGTGTGAAATGAGGATGAAACTCAACCTGGTTGACGGCAGGAATAGTAGAACTAAATTCTTTGATTTCTTCAATATGTGTTATTTCGTAATTAGAAACCCCTATAGATCGAATTACATTATCCCCTGCAACCACAAAAACTTCATAAAAGCGCAAATGCATTTCCAAAATATGACCTTATCCGGAAATTAATTAATACTGCCAATCAATCAATTTGAAAAGCTCTTCAACGGCACTCAGGAAGATCTGATGAAACTGAAATAAGAAGCAAAAAATTAGGAGAGAAAAAGAGGGAAAATGGCGGGCATTTCAAAACAAACAAAAGTGGTATACCTTTGTATTTTTCTAACGCCAAATAACACTCTTTCCGGTGATCAGCATTCCTAGGGTCGTCATTTGAAGAAGCATCGGCTTTCGGATAATGTATTAACATTAAATCAAGATAGCTAAAATAAATAAATCTGAAAAACGTCTGAAAAATCAAAAAAACGAAATCCCAGATGAACCAATATTGAACACGAAATTACAAGTATAAGAAATTACGAGTACCAGTATCAGAACCGAAAAAGGTGTTACCTAACTTGTAGTCGCGTCAATGACTCTTCAACCATCTCTTTGACGTACAGAAAGTTATTTTCTCTCGATGGGAAAATTTTTGTGGTAATGAATATATCTTCTCTTTTCAAGTTATATTTCGGCAATAGCTCCTAAAAAGACTGCCTACTGGTAACTTTAGGTGATGTCATTCAAAATGACAAACAAATAAGTACTTGTTTTCAGATTCCAAAGATCCAGAGAAAAACTTCCTTCTCCAACCTTAAGAGCATTTCCGATTTCAGCTTCATTTTTGTAATACTTTGCTGTGTCAAACATCCGGTAACCAGACTTAAGTGCCGCATCGACTGCCGCAGTAACAGTTTCCTGCCCGACAACTTTATAAGTTCCTAAACCAATCATCGGCATAACATAGCCGGTATTGAGCTTTTTAACGCCTCCAATAACGTTTTCCAACGATGACATAGTGACAAGCTAGAAGCAGATACATTATAATTTCAAATAAAAAAACGACGCAAATAGAATACAAATTCCGCTACACAGTTAAAACCACTTTTACCGTTATCATCCAGTTAAACTCCAGAACTTACAATAATTTTACGAAAGAAATGAGAAAATCAAAAGCTAAAAAAATCACGCAGGAATGTTCATTCAAGTTAAAGCTGCAAGATGCCAAGCCTTAGCTGAACCTTTAACAGTTTTCAGACAATGGCTTACTTCATTGTTACTCTTCTCCCTTCAATTAAAATTCTAATCTGATGTACAGAAATTGATATTGAAAGACATTTCAGTCAAATATCGTCCTTCAAATCAAAAAAAGGGGTTAAAGTGCTCCAGAGAAATTGAGGAATTACGTAATAATATCTGGCGAAGTGCAAACGCAAAAGATAGAAAGAAACTGGTAGGTTCTCAGAATCTATCAATTGAAGTTGCAAGAGAAAAGCCACTTTACATTGTGCAACAAATTATTCCAATATGAACGTATTACAAAAGTAACATTTTTTGCAGTTACAACATTGAAATAACAAGAGCAGATAGCAGCCCACGATAACGACATCGGCGTTGTAAAAATGTGGAAACCATCAACTTTGCCAGATTCATAAGAATTAGATAAAAACGGCTCAACAACTTTGCCAACTTAGTCGGCTTCTAATACCCTTTAACAACTAGCTATCCACTCTATTAATGCAGTAAAAACAATTCCTAGTAAATAATGAAAAACAATGGTTCATAGTTCAGTGTTAAACCCTTAAACTAAATACTTTGCCTGTAAAACGGCCCGTATCCTCGTACCTTCCATCCTCCATTTTTCTAGAACATCCTGTCTATTTCTTTTGCAGCTTCACCTTTTCGACTATAACTAACTGTTTCCCGTCTAGCCTTACTTTTTTTTTAGAATCCCCTCCAGTCAAAGACATTAAATTCCGCTTTACAACATACGCAGTTGCAAGAACAATATGGTGTAACCACTCTGCAAAAACATCCCCTTCTCCCTACAAAATCCTTAAAGTTTTAAAGGTTCAATCCATAAAACTACTTAGACTAGTCAAACCAAGCATCGCAACTGATTCAAATGCAAAGCATTATAACTCAATCTACCAAATTAATAATAAAAAAATTCCAGAAACCCTCCGGAAGACAAAGTAACAAGTACTGCAATTTATACAGAATACCAAATAAAAACGCCCAAAGGTGATAACACCCAAAGGTGTCTTTTAGAATCTAATAAAAGCAGCAGCAAGATGGCTGCAAAAAAATTTTCTAACAAATAGAATAATGAAGGATACAAGTAAACAAAAAAAAAATTTCCTGTTTCAAAACTAAGGAACGCTTCACTTTAGAAGTCCAAAAATGTTAGATTACTGTCAACGGTTTCTCAGTGTTGAAAGTCCCTGAAGCGTCTGATCAAAGCCGCCTAAAACGACGAAAATCGTAACAAATTTCCTAGATTGTACCTCATCTAATGCTGTTAATCTCTCATAGTGAAACCTATCGCTACTGTGAAATATCTACTCCTTTTACTTCTGAACTTCTGCTCTTCAACCTTACAAACTTCTGAAGCACAAAATAGTAAACCGAAAAATTACACACTACAGGCCATTTGAGAGAGTTCGGGAATCACCCTATTACAAATAGAAACATGAAAAAACAGTGCCGGATTCACTCGCTTCTGTTACTGAAAGCCTTATCCACAGCCTCTTTTGACAGCAAAATCATCAAACTTGCAAAACACCAAAACAACGAAAACTCAACATTTCTCTGACCAATTTCTTGGCGTCATAATCCTGCATCAATTTTCGAAGTTCAGTGTGAGGCATTTATTAACACCTGTCTTGAATCTGCAAGCTACATTTCACAACTGTTTCAGAACAGAATGAATTGTGGAAACTTTAAGGCTTCTCGAAAGCATAGATTTTTCAATTCTCTATATCGCGCTTTACAAGAAATTAAGAGCCACCCCTCAAAACCCTGAAAACCATTGCGCTGTCAGATCCGTAAAAGATTTGTCAAGAGACAACAAAGAATTTGATAGTCAGGGAATTGAATGACACTACCAAGGAAGCTTACTACGGATGCCTTTAAAACTAAACTATATTTCTGACAAAACAGAATTTAAGATGGTAACCAACCTCTTATCCCGAGCGGCAAGTAAATTCCCCACTGCTTGTGAATGTACAGGGGAAAAGAGTTCTCAGATATTTCAAAGGAATGTTCTGTCATCTGGGCCGCTATCGTACTTGAACTATTACTGACTACAGTGAATACTTGGAAGATGCTCGCTGTTCACACCAAAACTGAATATATTAAATAACGTGTGATAGATGCACAACCAAAATTTGAAAAAGTGACTTCCCCACATCCGTCATCACGGCAACTCTATAATGAAGGGTACAAGGCCTAAAAAAGTAGTAGTAACTTTACAGAGTTAGACTAGTGCGGTTTTACAGCTTACAGCACCAGGTTTTAGAGCTAGTATCTTTCACCACGAGGTTGCCATAATGAAGCATACGAAGTAGCTAATCGTGTAAGGCTCTGTGCAGGATCAAATTTGCCAACGTTTTACCATTAAAACTGGTTTTTTGCCCTCACTGAATAGACTGTGAAGATACAAAAACAGTGATATCTGGTAATAAGGTTCACACTATTGCCGTCGAACTCATGCATGAGTGAAAAAAATGATTTGAATGAACAAGGAGTGGTTGTATAGTAAAGGCTTTGAGAATGAAAGAAACGTAGAAAACGACACAAAGAACCGTTGAAAAAAAAAAACAATTCATATTTTAACAAAACCAAACAGAAGGTATCTGTTTTACCGCTGTTTTCTAATATTAAATCATTTTTCTCCTGCCACTACCAATTTCTAACCACGCAATTCGTTACTTTCAGCTATTAGTTCATCCAACTTTTAGCTGCCAGAACCGCCCAAGCGCACTTTGACAGGTAACCTCAAGAAATATGGCACTGCATAGAAGAAAAATTAAACTAGCAAAAGAGATGTCGTTAGTTTAGAAGAACTACTAGCTTACAGCGGACAAGCTGAATTAAACAAGTACATCCATAACCCTCTGGTTATACGTAGCAGGAAGTTAACGGCTAAAGTTTTATGCTGTAGAAACGATCAAAGCACAATCAGTATATCGTATGCAAAGTTTCTGGTGGAAAAAAATTTCTAACGCTGTCCTGTTTAACATAAAAAATAATCAGTAGCAATGGTATTTTGCGTGGCGTAAAAACTTCCATTCGATCAAAGAAAAAAAAAAACGCACCGAATGTCTAATGGACTTAACAAGTACTGGCGACCAGAAGGGACCGACAAGGAGACCTAAGTGGTTCATGTCCGTTTGGGCTTACAACCAAGTTGTAAATTTCCACACAACGACAACTGCAAAAGCGCCTGGAGCAAGTAGCAAATTATTTTAATTATTTGGCTAAACGCCCCGTTACTTATATTCGGTGTGAGATGCGTGCGTTCTTTGCGTAGTTTTGTAAAGAAGTCATCTGGACGACGGGCTTACTACATAATTGTGAGAACTGACTGCCGTTTAGATAGGTTACTTGTCAAAAGTTTTGTTGTCTGCGTTGATTTCCTCTTATCGAGTTCCGTTAATAATATTGTTTTGTTTTTTTTTTCTTGCACGGTCTAAATGAATTAGCTTAAAAAGTATAGTTCTTCTTTTATTCATGAACAACATTTAGTATTATAGCTGGCGCTTCTTTTCAAATCTGTGTAATTTGCCCTTCAAATTTTGAAACACTTTGTCTCTTTGAGAACTGTGGTCCTATACTGCTATTTTTTCTTTCAACCGTTTGTTATCGGTGCTGAATAGTCAACGGCTTTGTTCAGTGTTCGTAAAAATTCAGTTTACCTGCCCGAAAAGAAGATCGAGTTACTTTAATTGCTTAACTTTACGGAATTTTTAACGCGTAGTTTATAGTGCATGATCAGAAGCAAATTTTATTGCTTCATGGCTTTTTTTTCTTGTTTAGGTTATATTAAACTGATTTGGCCATGCTGATCAAAGTGAAAACTCTTACTGGGAAAGAAATAGAACTTGACATTGAACCGACTGATAAGGTGGAAAGAATTAAAGAAAAGGTTATTTTTTTTGTTTCATTTATTTCTAGTCACTTTTCGTTGCCTTCTTTTAATGGAAGGTTCTGGTGTTTTGGTGTAACCATGGGATATATCCCTTACTCAGTACCTTTAAACAATGGTGCTCAAGTTTTATCAAACTGTTGCAATCGTCAATGTGGTTTCCATTTATTGAGCACGCGTTACAACTTTACCCCGCTAACGATTGTTGTTGCTGGAAATTTTTCATTGTTTCTGACTTGTCCTTCCAATACTTTGTTTAGGTTGAAGAAAAAGAAGGTATACCTCCCCCGCAACAGCGGCTAATCTATGCTGGGAAGCAAATGAATGACGACAAAAGCGCGCAAGACTACAAGGTTTCAAACTTTAATTGGTGGAAGTTTTTTTTTGTTTTTGAGCTTTGGTGTTCATTAACAACTGAAACTGTGCCTACATCTTCATTCCTCTAATGAACAGTGGTATGGCTATGGTGCCTTCCTGTTTGAATATTTAGCTTCAGTTGTTGTTACTTTTTAGACGGATATGGGTATAAAAAAAGCCGCAATTGTTTTGGCCACATTTATTGTTGGAAGGACAGGTCTTTCTTCGCAATGATAGGGTTGCATTAAATGCAGTAAAAGCACTTTACTTATCCATTAGAAGAATAAAATCTGGAGGGTTTTTGCCGCAGTTTTTTTAGTTTGCTAGGGTAATTCGGAGATTTTTTTGAAATTTATTATTTGGTTTTTCACAGTGTTCTTGCTCGCTTGATTCTTTGCAAGTGGCGGACTTTAACTTGACTATACCTTTGTTTTTAGGTAACAGGTGGTTCGGTGCTGCATCTTGTATTGGCCCTTCGCGGCGGCAGCTCTCATTAATGATCCTCATTTTTTAACTGTATTTTGCCTTATAGTTTATTCGGTGCTTCGGAAAGTCAGAAAAGCTTATGCTTTATTGTTCCTGGTTTCGGATATTCATGTTTCATATTTGAATAATTTTTCGCTGCTGGCCAAATGGAGTTTTTTCTTTTCCTGTGGTTTTGCTTTACTTGAAAATACAATACGATTAATACGAATTGTGTTTCAAGCGGGTGTTTGCCCTTGTAATTAGAAACAAGGTTAATTATAATGATTATAGTGTTTTAAATGGAAGTGTATGCGTCACATTTCTTTTTTTTATCCAGGTTTTTCCAAGTCTGGTAATTAAGTCTTGCTTTTTTATTTCCTGCAAATGTGAGGCTGCTTATTTGAATAGCTCTGTTTCCCTGTAGAGAAATAAATCATCTGACATTTTGTAAGGGATGTTTTTTTAATTTGTTTGTCATTATTTGTGACAACGTGTTGTCACAAACTTTGTTTTTTGAACGAGGATTTACATGTGGAAAAACAGTTTCAAAGAATCCTGACTCATCCTCAGTAACTCTCTATCGCTATTAGGTAAGTGGGGCTGGAGTTTGCAGGGGACGTGTGGGTTTTACATCAGGTCTACAGTCGTATGGTTCCTTTGGAGAAAGGGGTCGTACAGGTCCCTAGAGTTCTTCAAAGGTAAGTGTGTGCTTTTGGGTAGGTTTTTTTCGTCCGGTCTGCGGCTAGCTGGGACGATCGGAAGGAATTAAAAGTTTATTTGGGCATTGGCGGTTCTTGCTTGGTTTTTAAGGCTGGGGGTGCGGCTGTCGCGTCGTTAAATGTAAAGATTAGGAGGGATGGTTTTTTGTAAGGGCAGGTGATGTTGCAGAAGCGTTGTGTTGTACAACTATTACAAGTAAAAAATTAGATTTAACTGGTTGAGGGGACATGGTTTATCGGGGAGTTCGTAGCATTTGGCGGTTTGCCAATCGACCGTTTTCAATGGGCACTTTCCAAGATTTGGTATTTTCTCGTTGTTCAGACGCAGTATTGGCGTCTTAGACATTCTCTACGTGATTTCATGTTTTGTTTGTTTGGGGTTGGTGAAGCTTCGTGTAGTCTTCAGTGACTATAGAAATTGTCTGTCATTATTTGGTCTCTATATTTCGATAACTAGGTTGATTTTTTGATCTGCCCTTCTCAGGCATTCCTGTTTTATCTTATAGAGTCATGTAGGTAGTTCTATCAGTCCTTTGCATGTGTAACAACATGTATTAGATTTAAAGTTTAAGTTGTTTTAGTTATCTGTCATCGTTGTGCTTATTTCTGATTTTTGAGTTTTATTTTTTTCAATTACGTATAGAATAATTGTTTATAATTATGTTTACAATTCAGTACAGAAACTATATTGACAAAATGTTGGGCCTTGTTGATTACGAGGCCAGCGATTCAGATGAAGAAGGCTTCTCCGAGCAACAAAGTGAGCAGATTTCGGCAGTAATCGTGGCAAATCCAAGAAAAATTTCTAATACTGCAGCAGAGTCTGTATCAGCGACACCTGTCGGGACTGATTTATTTGATAATTTGAACTCTCGAGATGATGATGCTGCTTCTTCAGGTAATTCTTGTTTTTCAGACACTGAAAAGTGATTCACAAATCTGCTGCTGTGTTTTTTGTAAAGTAGTTACTTATAGTATCAAAAAGCAAATTGTTTACTGATATTCATGATTTAGGTGATATCTTGGCATCTCTTCCAGTTGCTTCTAAGCAGGAGTTAAAAAATGGTTCCCAGTTTGCTGAAGGCGAATTGGAAGACATAGTTAAAAGAAAGAGGTGGGAAATCAAAGAGGCAAAAAGGATCGCAAAAAAGAGAAAAAAGCTGGAAAAACAGCGAAGAAAAGAACTGCGCCGGTTATTTTCAGTTTTTTCCCATATTAATGTAGTCATTACAGCAGTGTGATTTGTATAGTTGTGATGTCAGTTAAAAATTAATATCTCCTTATAAATTACAACAGTTGTTTGTAAAAGTTCGTCTGTTTTGTAACTCGGCTAATAATAATGTGTGCGTGAGTATACATTTTGCACGTCGTCTTCGCCGCTATTCGACTGAATCTTTTTCTTGTTTAAGAGAGAAAGAAGGAAATGAAGAGGAACATAAAAAGAAAGTCGGCAGAAAGAAGATAAAAATAGAGGCTTTTGGTGGTCTTCCTGAGTTGGATGCGAGCGGTAGTGACAGTGGAGAAGAAAATGTAAGTTTAAAGAGCAGTATAGATTTTACTTCTCTCTATATCATTATTAAATTGTTTTCTCGTCAGCATTTCTGTATTTGAGGGAAGTTGTGACATTTTTAATTTTTCAATCATTTTTTTTTTTCGCAGAACTTGTCATATTTAGGATTCGAGTAAGTTGATGGCGAATAAGACAAGTAAATCAGTAGGTCTCTTGTCTATGTTACCAAAGCCAAGCTCTGAAAGGATAGGCAAAGGACCAAATATTATGTTTCCTTCAAGTTTGAGGGTGTCTCAGAAGACTTCGTCTGTCAGAGTGACGGTTAGTAGCTCTAACGGCTGCTTTTACGAAATTTAACATTTTAATTTTTTTAAACATCTTTTTGAACCTATTTCAGGATGTAAAGGCGACTTCGTCTGAAATAAATAGGCCGTCTACATCTGTGAATTCTGGTGAATCAGATGAAGACGAGGACAACATTGACTTTTTTGGTCTCAACGAACCAGAAGAATCAGAAACAGCTGTTGAAGCCAAAATATCAGATGTTGCTTATGGGCCGTCTGTTCCATTTCAAAAAGAGGTCATTAGTTTTCTACATTGATTTGACAAGTATGCCCAGCTTGTTTCTGTGGGCCACTTTTCTGTTTTTTTTTCTTCGACAAAAAAGGATTTTTCAGCATTATTAATATTTTTATCCTTGAATAAGTGTTTCACAGCTTATATCTTTTTTCTTTTTTGGTTTATTCTCTTTTAATTTGTTTGGCCTAAACTATTACTTTAACTTAATTACTGGATGCATTTTTGGACCGGGTTGATTTGGATTATGTAATAGTAATTCATTTTTTCAGTCAGGTAATATGCCACAAAATTCTGATTTGAGAGAGGATATAATCAACGAAGTTGGCCCATCCAGTTCTGCTGTAATCGATGATTCTGTGAGTTTTTATCTTTTTCATAAACAGTCATATTTTCTCAGCCGTGGATAGGAGTTAAATTTGTTGAAAATTGCAACCGCAGTAAATATTTAGGAAGCTGCAAGAATCATTTATTCGCATGACGTAGCACCGTATGGTGGTTCTGAGTTGGATGCAAGCAATGCAGCCAGTAACATCGTTGACTTTGATGTTGATCAGGTATTAAAATCAAAACAGTTGACT